AAGATGATCACATGCACCATGGCTTGCACACCTGCATGACGGCCCTGTGCTCATAGGCCGCGACACATGCTCCAGTCTCGAAGTAGGCGCTCTCTGGCAGGCGCAGGTGGTTCAAGCGCGTGCGGTCGCGAGATGAGCGACAGGCGCCTGCGCATACACAACAGTTCAAGGGCAGGCACAAATATAGAAACATGTAAGTAGGAGGAGGAGAGTGCGGATTGGAGTGTTGTTGACACGAGAGCAACAAATCTAATCCCCCAAGGCACTGACCTGTCCATCTGCTTCACGCGCTGCTTCTTCATCTTGCGCACGACAGCCACAATGTGGCTCATCATGCCCAGGTCCGTCTGGTGCATGATGTCAGGCATGATAACGAGGTAGGGATTGCCCCACACAGTCCCTGGGACATCCCGCTTCCAGAGCACACACTGGAAAAGGGGATGTGGTGGGGAATGGTAGAGAAAGGTATTTGAGAGACTCGACACACAACATGTGGGACAGTGCAATGGGGTATAGCACATCCCCAAGGTTTGAGCAACACGGAGTGCGTAGACTACACAGTCGCCCGGGGAACAGGTCGCTCACCTCAACCGGGTAGGTCGAGTAGGTCTTGCATTGGTCGTCCTGGCTTGATGTCAACCCTGCCGCCTTATTCATGATCCATTGCTGCTGTTCAGGCCCGTGCGCGGCGTGTTCCATGCCTTTACAGCAACCAGATGCTCCTGGTGTAGCACAAAGAGTGGGATGGGATGAACAAGTAAGGGAGGTGAGATTATGAGGTCCGTCATGTGACATTCGGATGGCGATGGTTCTGAAGGCACGCCGATCGCATATTTTCTCACCTTTGCAGCATAGCAGATGCTGCACAACATCCGCGATCCATGCAAGAGTGTGCAACTGATCTTGCCGCTCTCAGGGTAGTCGCACACCCAGGCGTACAGCAGGGGCCGCACGGTTTGCCAATCACCAAAGGGTCCCTGAGACGGAACCTGCTGCAAGGAACAGGTATTGTGGCAACAGGAACAAGGATTTCGGCTTTGTGCATTGGCGAAGAGGGACAAGGGGGACTGTTACATACCGAAACGCTGCGCATACTATGACGTTGATTGGGTGACGACATAGCAAGACAGAAATTGAGAACGGACCTTTCCATGCCATTGAGAAGCGGCTGCAGCACGGTGATGACGCATCGCTGGAAGAGCATCACCTTCTCCACGGCAGACATTACAGAAGGGGGGATAGGAAGGAGAGCAAGTAGCGTGTGCCCGGCTTTCCCCCATCGCTTGGCCTGGGAGATGTTTGCAAGCATCATCATTAGCGGCCACGCCTTCTTCCGGCCATTGTTGCTCATGTGCGTCATATCCGAGTATAGGATGATACCCCACGACTTCGGACCATCCAAAGTGTTCCTGCAAAGCATGACAAAGAGGGAAAAGGCACACGGTCAAACACCAACAAGGCAACTTGTCACCAGGCGGACTAAGCATGCTTCAAAGAACTCCCCACAAACATGACACACAGAAGATGCTCCCTACACATCAGCGCATCAACGGAGGCATGCGCACTCTTCTGGTTTTGGGTGGCAACGGGGTGTTTCCATACCTGAGCGTCGTTCCACCACGTTCCAGTTTCTGGCGTGGTATAGCGACGCTCGCCTGTGTCAGGGTCCTCATCAACACCAGCCTTGAGCTTGAAGTTGGGCGTATTGTTGGTATGCCCAAACAGTTTGACAAACGCCTGGCGTACTCTGGCAAGAGCAGGAGAGAACCAAACCCTGGTTAGTGGCGTTGAAGGTGGGGCAGATCTCACACAAGCCGAACAGAGGCAACGTTCAACAAGCACCAAATGGATGCGGAATCTGCATTTCACAGCCACGGATTTAGATTCAACTTACCTGCGCAGAGTTCTGAAAGAGAAGGCACTGTGGCGGATGAGCGTCAATCTCGAAGGTCGCCATTGACCATCCGCGATTGAGCCCGACCAAGTGCTCCATCTCGAACCGCTCCAAATCCTTGCTGTTCTGGATCTCTATGATCACAAGAGGCGCAAGGCCAGGCTCCACCACGAGCTGAAGCAGGCCATTGATGTCGATCTCCGCCATTCCCATTCCGCCATTTACGCGCCGCACGAAATGCAACAGCTTCAACGCAAGCGGATTGAGGGGCGTGGCATTGCTCTGCCGGGAGATGCATGTCGGCGGTGCGGCGTGACTCTCTTCACGGCGGCTCTCCGGATGCTCACTCGTGTCAGAGGCATGTGTTCCTGGAGGCGGTTGATGCTCACTTTCAGGAGCCCCCACGTTCACAGCCAAGGGCGTTGCGTCTCTGTCAGCTTTGGGCACGCGAGGAGGACCATTCACACCGTCGGTGTTGGACGTGTTAGACGCGCGGTAGCGGAAGCGGGTGCAGCGGGAGCGTCTGACAGAATGTCGTGGACGAACAGCAGAGCGTGTAGACCGGCAGACGGTGCAGACGAGGAGGGCCTTGCCACGGCGGAAAGCCCTTGACAAGGGGTCCGCCGTGACTTATGGCCGCCATAAACCTGGGCGTTGGGGAACCATCTATTGCAGAATTCGCATACTACGCGTGGCAAAAAGCCCATGTATTCTAGATCCGTCTAAGAGTGGTGGAATGTAGTGTGAGGAGACTAGCGAGTTTGAAGCTTCTAAACGCTTTTACTTCACGGTCAATGAAGGCTCAGACTCCAGCACGGTCATCGCCACAGCGCGAAGTGTCCACGGCGGCTTGGATCTCTGCACGCCTGGCACTTGATCGTGGCACATTAGTGAGAGATTGGCTAACAATGGTCGCGTAGCGCGGCCGTGACAAGCCTAGATTCAGACCGCCGACAGCACGGCATAGGCCTTCTCTACAAGGCGTGTCGCCCCCTGTTAGAGTGATTACGACGTGAGCAGGGCCTTATGCAGTGGTGTACGGCTAGCTTGGTCGCAAGCGTGCGTGACAAGCACGGTGAGGAGTACGTGCGTAGGGCCTGTGCTTCATACCAGTCCCTCTAAGCACCTTCTTGAATGTCCGTGCAAGAATGGATGACGATCCATCAGCATACGCAAACGGATTCACCATGTCGCGCAACCCCAGCAGGCTAGAACGCTGCATCGTCGCACAGTCTAAACATGGCTGTCGATAACGCATCACCGCTTGTGCGTAGGGCCTGTGCTTCATACCACTCCCTCTAAGCACCTTGTTGAATGTCCGTGCGAGAATGGATGACGATCCATCACCATACGCAAACAGATTCACCATGTCGCGCAACCCCAGCAGGCCTAAACGCTGCATCGTCGCACAGTCTAAACATGGCTGTCGATAATGCATCACCGCTTGTGCGTAGGGCCTGTGCTTCATACCACTCCCTCTAAGCACTTTGTTGAATGTCCATGCAAGAATAGATGATAATCCATCACCATACTACAACTGATTCTCGTTTACTATTGATCATCGTGTTAGAATATCGTCCGCTATCGAAAACCGATGTGGCAAAGCCTAAAAGTGCGCCGTACATTTGTGTGACGCGAGAATCACCAATTAACTTAAATACCCAACCCATACTAAACCATTTGCAACTAAGTGTTTGATGAAATCTATTGTTGTATGTTTGAGTTTGATTTAGCTGCTATGTGCAACACTGTGCGTTCGCGACAACACTGTACTTTGCAGGGATTTTACTAATTTCGCACTTGGCGTTTCACAACCGTTGTACCCTTTGTAGTGATTGATGCGTTGGCAACCGTGATTGGCCAATGCATCTCAAACGAGTTGGCCCGCAACACAATCACCAGCCAAGAGGTACTTAAGCCAATGAGCGGCTGAGATCGAGCGGTAGGTGGGTTTATGCTAGGGTGGCTACACGTACACCGTGCGATATAGCCTGATATGTCAGAATCCCAACCACTAGACCATTGGGATAAAAGGGCTTGTTTCAGTAGCGGGTCAATGCGCATAACCCCCCAGACGAACGCGCCTGTAACCCTCTCTAGGATCAATCGGGCATCCACAGTGCAGATCTACTGACACCCCTCCACACTCCGACACTGGAAGGCCCAGGACTAAGCACACGACGGACCTACATGTGCATACACGGGAATCGAACCCGAGACCGCTCTGATACCATGTCAGAATCCCAAGCACTAGACCATTGGGATAAAAGGGCTTGTTTCAGTAGCGGGTCAATGCGCCCATAACCCCCCAGACGAACGCCTCTGTAACCCTCTCCAAGATCAATCGGGCATCCACAGTGCAGATCTACTGACATGATAGGGTAACAGTAATCTCTCTAGTCTCGCAACCCACCCCAACCACCCTCGTGCCCCACCCACCTGCTTCCGTCACTCCCTGGTCCAACACTTTGACGCTGCTTGCTGTTTGACTCACTCCTCTCCGTCGCGGCCATAGCTCTCTGCTTAGTGGCTACTAGTTCAGTTTTAGATGAAGCGGTGGTTTTCGGATACAGATAACAGTGATCGACCGTCGATAATCCCATCGTGGGATTCCGTTGCAGTACCCCCTTCGAAACGGCACAACCCTTCCGCGCGATGTGCTCATTTGCTTTCCTACAACGACCATGACTTGTGCAATACGTAACCAAGCAATGGGGAAGGAACAGGCCGGCCGCGCCGCGCGACAAGGAGGACGTCTCAATAGATAGATAGGGAGAGCGGTGGCGGCGCTAAAAAACTAATGCGTCCGTCGCACCAGGCATTGGGCAGAAAAAAGCGGCGCCAAAAAAGGTCGAGCGCGGTCAACAGGAGTCTGGCAAGAAAGCGGAAGACAAGGGGCCTAAACCAAAGCCACGTAAGCGTGTTTCTACTGTGCGCAAAGAAGCGGATGTTGCCTCTGCTGGAACCGAGCCTGGTCTGAGTAACGACGGCACCACTGGCGGCAACAAAGCTACGGGGCGACGGAGCACGAGTCTTGCATTCCTGTCGGCGGAGATAGAGGGATCGGCGACAGGGGGAAACCACGGAGGCGATCCCCGCGCCGAGCATGCCGTAACCAAGGAGTCCAAGGCGGCGGCATCGCAAACACCATCTGACGCTGCTCCAGCCGACTGTGGTCGAAGTTTCTGCAGTCGTGCTGGATAAGGACAAGGTGGGGGAGCACGAGTCGGAGGGCCAGGTCGGTGGCTCTCCTCCTTCTGGTAGACGGGGGAGGCGTAGGCAGAGGAGGAGCGATGGGGAGGACGATTATGACACCACCGTGCCCGGGGACCTCACCACGCGGGCAAAGAGGCGGCAGACGACAAGCAGTGCTGACAACGCGAGGAGGCGAGGAAGTTGGGACAATGCGAGGCGCCAAGGAAGCTAGTGGCAAGACGCGCGGTCAAGCATTGCGCCAGAAGGGCCGACCCGCAGCAAGAAAAACATCCGGCGGAAAGAGAGGCAAGAAAGCAGCGTCACAGGGACGAGGCAGAGAAACGGGGCGATGAACACCCTAGTAATACGGAGGAGGAGGGAGGATGAGGAGGATGCGGAGGAAGAGGAGGATAAAGAGGATGCGGAGGAGGATGACATGGATGTTGGGGAGGATGAAAAAGATGAGAATGATGGCGGGGAGGACAAAGAGGAGGATGAGGATAAGGAGGAGGAGGAGAAGAGGAGGAGGATAAGGAGGAGGAGGAGGAGGAGGAGGAGGAGGAGGAGGAGGAGGAGGAGGAGGAGGAGGAGGAGGAGAAACAGGGTGACGACGAGGATGAGGATGACGACGAGGAGGAGGCAGCAGAGGAGGATGAGGAGGAGGAGGAGGAGGAGGAGGAGGAGGAGGAGGAGGAGGAGGAGGAGGAGGAGGAGGAGGAGGAGGAGGAGGAGGAGGATGTGGCGCCAGTGAAGGGACGGGGCGGGCGTGGCAGACGGGTGAGTGGTAAGGGAAGGTGGGGGCCGGACTCGCCCTTCCCGAAAACGCGGGGCAGTTAACGCCGCGCGCGGCGAAGCATCGGGAAAATAGAAGGCGCGTAAGGTCAAGGTCGAAAGTGAAGGGGGTGGTAAAGAGCAAGAGAGCCAGGGAGCAGAAGGGGGTGGAGGAGGAAAGGGTGGCCGCGGCAAAGGTGTTCCAGTGGGTACCGGCAAGAAAGAACCTGCCGGTAACGTCGCAGCGTCCGCCAAAGCACCCCGCGGAAAGGTGGTAACGAGAAGGCGCAGGCTGCCCCAAAACCGAAGGGACAGCAGAAAGGTGAGCGTTGTGGCCAATAAAAGTGGCGTGGTTGTTGAACCATCTGGTCAACCGTGCCAAATAACACCATTTTTCCATTGTTTTGTTGGTGCAACCCTACGGTTTGTGCACCGGCTTGTTGTCCGTGTGCGTGCATGTGTGTGTGTGTATGGAATGGTATGAGGGCATGGGATAATATATATTTCATGCTTATAATTGTGTGTGAATGTTGAGTCATGATGTCGAGTGTGTGTGTCGAGTCAATAGCGAGATATCGCTAGACGCGTGTTACGCGGTCGTTTCTGTCTCGCGCGCGGTTTCTATTTTGTCCTGTGTCGAACGTTCGGCGTGTCACAGGTGTGTGCAGAAGACCCATCAAGAACTCAAGGATGATTTTGTGATGAAGAGCCCGAGCCTTTGTGTCAAGCCTCGAGTGATTTCGAAGCTCGCCAAAAGGGTGCACCTCAAGATATTGAAGATAGGTCCATTACTTTGAGTAGTGTAACATTTCACTTGGTGTAGGCCCTAGTGAAGGGTAGTTTCGAGACCCTTCGTGGTTGGGGACAGTGTGGCACTGTTCCACATCACTGTACCTCGGCTCTCGGGTTTGTAGGAGCTGGGAGTCATTCCCAACTCGTAACTCTTCCTAACTCTTCCTATCTTGTGTTCTAAGACTATGTTGCTGCCATAGTGCCGTTCGTTCAAACCGACGCTGTGTCGTCATTTCTTATTGAAAGCTTGCGATTTAAATTGCCTATTGTAGGCGACGTTAAGGCGCTCCAGATCCAAGTTGAATGAAGTCATTTGGAGTTGTGAGCAGATCGCTATGAACGTTTGAAGCCGCTGTGCAGAAATCCGACTGTGCACTCTATCTTTCGTTTTAGGCACATTGGAGCCTACTGCGACTATAACATGTTTCTCCCTTGCAGGGAAGGAGAGGGTCGACAAATCTACCAAGCAAGGTAAACCCTCTTGTCTCAAACCAGTACAACCCTAAACCCGATTTAGATTCAAACCTTTGATGTTATGCATGCATGTCTGGCCCTGTATTGAAACCGATTGACTCTAATTTCTTTATCCTACTCTCTACATCTCAGCCCCTCGCGTTACAGGCATTGGGCCACCTGTAAGGCGTGCAACGGATGCAGCTAACGAAGGCTGCCGGAAGAGCGAGTGTTCCACCGCTAGCCACAGGAGCACCAAGGTTCTACACGCCATACAACGACCCGAGCAAAGTCGCTAAGACGGCACCCGGCGCGCCAAGAGGAGAGGAATCCGAATCCCCTCCACCAGCCCCCGTCACGCAAACCCCACTGCCTCACCCTCGTACCCATTTCGGTCGCTACACGCTCTGTGTCCGGGGCAGGGCGGTCTCCCCCGTCGCCGGTCCATCGCGCGGGCATCAGGCAGGCACTTATACCAATCCCTGCCCTGAGCTCCCCTTTCCCCAGCGTGATAGTGTGGGGGCACACGGGACTGCTGCAGAAGATGCTGATCCCCTTGGCCAGATAGGGGATTCTTCACACTTTTTCCTCCACTCATGGGTGCCCTAGGTGAAAGTGCGGAGCACGAGCCGTTTGTTACACGGGAGGAGTTCCACGCACTGCGGTCTGAGATGTACGCCATGTTTGCACAGCTCGGCCTGCATCGTGGAGTACCTGCCAGCTATGCCGGCGGGTCGGCAGCCCTGCCTATGGCTGGTACCCCGCCGCGGATGAGCGTCGTGGACAAGGCACGAGTGCTAGTGTTGCTAGAGACAAACCCATTTCCGGTATGTGGCAGGCCAAATGGGGCGGGGGGGTTGACGTGGCAACCAGGGCAAGGTTGGGCTGACGTGGCGGTTTCGGCTCATCTGAGCGGTGACGAGGCGATGCGTATCAGGTGGGTGGGGGTGACGAGGCGATGGGGTGGGTGGGTGTGACGTGCACGTGGGGGGAGGGTGTGTGGCACGGGGGACGTGGTTGTGGTGGACGTGGCGGATGCAGGAGGGTGTGACGTGGCGGATGCAGGAGGGTGTGACGTGGCGGATGCAGGAGGGTGTGACGTGGCACGTGGGGCTGGTTGGTGAACGTGGCGGATGCAGGAGGGTGTGACGTGGCGGATGCAAGAGGGTGTGACGTGGCACGTGGGGCTATTTGGTGGACGTGGCGGATGCAGGAGGATGTGACGTGGCGGAAGGTGAGGGTTGGGAATGACGTGGCGGATGCAGGTGGGTGTGACGTGGCGGAAGGTGATGGTTGGGGATGACGTGGCTGTTCAAAAGAGTACACGTGTGCGGTGCGTGACGCAGCGAGGCGTTTCAGGAGGGTGGGGGGTGACGTGGCTCTTGGTGGGGGTGTGACGTGGCAAGTAGGGCGGGTTGTTGGCGGATGCAAAAGGGTGTGTGACGTGGTAGAATGTGAGGGTTGGGGCAGACATGGCGTTTGGAATGATACACGGGAGCGGCGCGTGACAAGGTGACGCGTGTCAGGTGGGTGGGGGGTGGACGTGGCATGGGTGGGAGGGTGTGACGTGGCACGGGGGGCTGGTTGTGGTGGACATGGCGGATGCAGGAGGGTGTGACGTGGGGCAGATGCAGCAGGAGGGTGTGACGTGGCGCGAGGGGCTGGTTGTTGGTGGACGTGGCGGATGCAGGAGGGTGTGACGTGGCGGAAGGTGAGGGTTGGGGATGATGTGGCGGATGCAGGTGGGTGTGACGTGGCGGAAGGTGAGTGTTGGGGATGACGTGGCTGTTGGTGTAAGGGCCTAATAAACTCAAGCTATTAAGACTTTATCACACTTAAAACCTCTCCTCGGGGTCACCTCCAAGGGTCCTTGGGTGCCTGGTACAAGACCAGCCCCTATCCTCGGGTCCGAGTTTGTAGAGAGAGGGATCAAGAGGGACTTAGTCAAAACAGCAAGAGTACCTTGAACGTTGCGCAGCGTATCGTGCAGACCGTCGATCGGATTAAGCTGAGAATTTCCTATATCGAAGCTCACTCTAAGAGCCTTAAAATAAGCCAAGTTGCCTCGCGAAAAGTTCTGCCATTACGAAGTTATGGCTCGGACAGCGTTAGCTCTAGCGTTGGAGTGGCTAGCGTACTAGCGTTGACTCGGGTAGCATTCCGCTCGTCGCACCGCGTAGAAAAGAAATTCCAGCAAGGAAGGAATTCGCTTGAATCAATTTCACTATATTCAGGTACAAACAGAGAAGGAATAAATAGCTCTAGCTAGCAAGGACCTTGGGAATCAACCTGGGAACAACCAGGGATGATCCCAAATAATTCCAAGCAACAGAACTCAACCTGGCTGGACAAAAATAGCAGGTGATAGGTTGGTGAACAACCTCTGGTTCTGTTTTTCCAACCTGGGAAAACAACAACCAGGTTCAGGTCCTAAAAACAGAACCTGTTTGTCTTTGCCCAACCAGCCAAATTGCTGGTTCCGCTGGTTTCCCCTGGCCCTGTAGCATGCAGATACAGACAACAACATCCAACCTTTACCTAAATTGTACCCCTATAGTGCCTGCCCTGCTACACTATAGTCAACCAAACAAAACAGTACAATTTCGAGTTGGATAGAACTGAATCTGCGCAATCAAGTAAGCTGAACCGCAAAGCTTCCATCTTGGGTTCCTTTTGCGAGCTCGTCCTTTCTGCTTGTACTGTTCATAGCGCGTACAATGTTATGCGAAGCGCACATTTTGCGAGTACCTGCAAATGCTTCAAGCGAAATTGCGAAAGCAAACAAACACACAAGCATACCATTCACACGCAAATGCATTCGCACACGCATACTCGTACAAACAGACGGCAGGATGTCGTGCAATGTGAATTTGCACCAACACACTCCCCCTCAGCCTGCCGGCTGCATCCCCATCATTCCATACTAGTTCATGCTCATTCCACTCATGCGCACACAACGCCAATGAGGACTCATCCGCAAGCCTCTTGGTGAGGAAGTCTGCTGGCTGCTGGTGAGTCTTGATGTAGATCGGATTCACCGTCCCCCTCTTCACCTCCTTACGCAGCCAGTGCCACTTGATACGCATGTGCTTATTCAGCCCATGAAGCACAGCGTTCCTGGCCATCCCAAGAGCTCCCTTGCTATCACAAACAGCGGCGTAGCAACCTTTTGCTCCGGCCAATCTCCTCAACAGCCTCCTCAGCCAAATCACCTCCTTCACCCCATGGAACATCGCAATGTACTCTGATTCCACGGAAGAGAGTGCTGTCTCCGTCTGCTTCTTTGACCTCCAACTAACGGTCCTCCCCCAACTACGCAGATGTATCCTCCCACAGATGAGGAATCCTCCTTCTCAGAGGCCCACGTAGCATCAGTAAAAGCAGTGAGAAAAAGCTTGCCTTCTCCAAGCCTCTCCCCCTTCTCTTTCAGCACCTCAACCCCTTTCTGCTTCACCTGTGCAGATGCGGAGTATTGAACTCCAATGCTTGGGTGAGAGTTCAGATACTTCACCACACGCTCAGCTGCATCCACCTGCTCCTCTGATGGATTCTGCACTACCCTAGCCAGCTGCCCAACCGAGAAAGAGATGTCGGGTCTCGTGTGAACTGCTGCATACAAGAGGCTGCCCACCAAGGACTGAAATTGCTGCTGCTCCTCGGCTTCAACCCCTTCATCCTCTGCAGCTTTCACAAGCTTGAATTCTGCTGGCAGGGGAGTTGCAACCTTGCGCTCATTCTCAATTCCGTACTTCTCCCCAAGCTCCTTGATGAACTTCTCCTGGTGCAGCTTCAACCACCTGTGATCCAGATCCCTCTCCACGTGCATCCCGAGGTAGTACTTTACCTCCCAAGGTTCTTGCACTTGAAGTTCTCCATCAGCTGCTGCTGCACCTTCTGGATCTCCTTCATGCTGCTGCTAAAGAGAAGAATGTCGTCCACATAGACCAGAAAACAGCACCAGCTTCTCCCCCTCCCCCTTGAGAAAGAGGCTCTCATCACAGCTGCTGGTCCTGAATCCCATCTCCTCTAAAAC